AAAAGAAGATGATTTGACTCAAATCCATAACAGCTGATATCCAGAACTCCAGCTTGGCCATTCTTACATCTGTGACAGTGATTAACCAGGATGCTTTTTTCAATAGCTATTTTATTATTGCATTTTTCCACATCATAAGGTTCTATTTTTATTTTTTGAGCTCATACAAACCTAGGTTAATGTTTTTCTGATCAGTTTTATTTTTTGACTGTGGAGTTTTTAAACATTGCAATGGAGATTTCATCCAGGTAAAGCTACAAGGCCTTTATTATTTTCTTATGTGTTGTACGTTTGTGTACACTCTTGTGTTTTGTGTTGTATGTCTGTATGTGCGTATATCCATATTTCTTATATGAGGAGCGTTCATGAAAAAATGGATCCGAATTATTATTATTATTATTTTTATTCACGTGATTTAAATGGTTTAATTTAAATTAGGTAAACAGCTGTTAAAGATTGTTTTTAAAGGTGGTTAACAGATCTGTTTGTTTACTAATTTAAATTAGGTAAAAAGCTGTTAAGGATTGTTTTTAAAGTAGGTTAACAGATCTGTTTGTTTACTTTCACCTTTCCTTTTCATTATATTTAATAATTCTTTCCAGGATAATGTCTCTTTAGCATCATTGCCAGAATTCCTATCTTCATCCCAGTGCCGGTGAAGACAAAGATAAAACCAAACTGCAGCTTCTAGGATAGCTATCACAGTAAACTGTATAAACTGATGCATCAATGAATATAACTCAACAAGTGATGCTCAATCAAGGAGTCAACTTACTTTGGGAGGAAACGGATTTTGGGAGGAAATGGACATATTGATAGATTCCTCCGCTTTGAACTGCTTGCAGAACTTGCCTGGACTATGCAACGATTGTTTGGTGCAGCGAATTGTGGTAATGCTGGCATATCTTTGCTGATGGTGTCACTAGTGATGCAATTTTTATTTCCTTGCCAGCTCACCCCATGTTAATTGTGGTTGTGCTGACATATCTTTGCTGATGGTGTCACCAGTGATGCAATTTTTCCCAAGGAGCCGTCAATTGGCTTGGTCTTGTGGCACTTCTGTATTCTCCTCCCTTCTGCTACTGATGGTCTAAAATTTGGGGGCCAATGGCTGTATGCTGGACCGGTAGTCAGTGACGGGTATGATCCAATTGCAGTGGTATCAACCTAAGACAGGAGGCTGACGCCTAAAGGTCAGTTTTCCGATGACGGGTAAGAACCATATGTTGAATTGGACAACCTACCAGGCACGGTCCTTAAGCCACATTAACCTCACTCCCCCACTGGCACCAAGGCCAAATTTGGGGGCCAACAGAGGTGAGGCAAAGAACCTCAGCCCCCCTGGTGCATAGACCTATCCACAAGTATGGCTGTATGCTGGACCGGTAGTCAGTGATGGGTATGATTCAATTGCAGTGGTATCAACTTAAGACAGGAGGCTGACGCCTAAAGGTCAGTTTTCCGATGACGGGTAAGAACCATATGTTGAATTGGACAACCTACCAGGCACGGTCCTTAAGCCACATTGCTTGTTGTTTAATTAATCAGAAGGGGGGAGATGCTGGGAGCCATTAGCCAAGTAGGTATGACAATTTCCTTGCCAGCGTACCCCATGTTGCAGTGATATTGAATGTAGGTGACCTTGCTCAAGGACCAAGGCGGATTAGGGCGTTCCCGGTTTAGGTTCCAGGTTTAAGGTTTAAGATTATTCCTGCTGGGAATAGGGTGTATCCTGCTGCCTGAGTTCCTCTTGAGTTCTCACGGGATTCAGACAGTATATTTTGGAGATAGAAGCCCAGTGGAGGTGGATTTGGGCAGAGAACGTGGATTTCCCCAGAACGTGATTGTAGACGGCTGGTGTGAGTTCGGGAATAGAGTTGCTGTTTGAATCTACAAGCTGTGTGGTGGCTCGTGATTGTGTGCCCAGCCAGACTGCGGCATTAATGCCCAGCCAGACTGTGGCACTGGTGCCTGGGTGGACAGCTCAGGACGCGTCCTCTCCTGCACACATCTGTGGATGCACTCGACAGGTGGACAGGCCACATCAGAGAGTCGAGGGAGGGGAGTGTGCACAGAGCAGGCAGCTCTGTCCTCCTGAGGCCCCTGACTCTCCTCTCTGCTGTGTCATTCCAGGGCTTGTTCTGACCCCAACTCTCAGCAAGGTGAGCACCTGAGCTGTGCTTGAGAAACCTTAGTACTCACTGGTCCAGGAAGTGATGGACAAGGTTCTCAGCTCTGCCACCTGGTTCCATCATTGGGAGGAGCAATCTCGACCTCCACCCCATGCTGAAGGCACCACTCTTCACCACAGCAGAATGCAGCACCCACCTGTGCCCTCAGCAGGAGCAGGGGAACCTGAGTATTCATGGAATACTACTCAGACAGGAATAGTGGTGGGCTCTCATTTGGGCCAACACAGGTGTCCCCGAGGACACTGCACTCATTGATATAAGCCAGGCACAGAAAGACAGGAACAACTGCCTCACTTACAGCTCTGATCTAAAGTTTCCCAGAGGTGCACAGAGGAGAAGGAGGCTAGCAGGGCCAGGGGCAGTGGCCTGGGTGAGGCTGGTCAGAGTGGGGCTCACTTCTGATAAGCAGGAGGAGAACCTCAAACACAGCTGCTCAGCAGGAGGCTCTGGTGAGTCACCACCTACTGTGCACCTGCAGCAGTTCTGAGAGAGCAGGCTTTGATTTCTCACCATGGAATGGTGGAAGTCAGAGCTGCAGCACCTGCTAATACCTGGATCAGCCTTTCCACCACGGGTGCCCATCTGGAACCTTCATCCTAGGTAAAGGGTCTCCAGGGGCCCTGCTCTGCCCTCTGTGGGCTTTATTAGAATTACATTTAAATAGTGATGGCAGCAGACACTGAGACCCAGAGATTTAGTGCCCTCCTTGTTTGCACTGTTCTCTTTGGAGCATGGTGAATGCGTTAACTCAGAGAACACGGCCATGACTTCAGGTCAGAAGATTGAGCTTCATAAGATTGTGGAGTTAATAGTTGACAGAAGGAGGCACATGAGGTCCATTAGCATGATGGGCTTCTCCCACCTGTCAAGTGGAGCACTGAAGTGTCCCTGCTGCTGTGGAGACAGTGTGGGCACAGAGGGCCTGGGCTAAGGAGCTGTCCAGGCCACCCCTCCACAGGGCTCTGACATGCCCCTTAAGGTCATGACTCACAGTGTCCTAGTAATACAACCAGGAAGCACTGAGGTGGTGCCTGGGTTGTGGGGTGCTGTGGGAACTGATAAGGGGAAGGACACAGCACCTCGGGGCCCTGGCTCAGTCTCTGCACTGAGCACATGAGGTCTGGTTTCCCTTGATGGACCCTGACTTCACAGGGAGCCAGCAGAGGGCAGCACCTGGGGCTCAGGAGAGGACAGGCCCCAGGAGAGTGCCCACCTGCAGGAGGACCCTCCTCAGGCAGCACACTGAGCTCTGCCCAGGAACAGGCTGGGCACCAGGAGCATGGCTCATGCTGCTCAGGAAAGGACCCCACAGGTACCATGGAGATGTGCAGAGATAAGACAAGGACTGGGCACTGTGGCTGGTCAGACGTTCCCTTACTCCAAAGAGCGGGGTCTTCTCATAAGCCCACTGCTGTGAGGGACCCTCGGTTTTGTTGGCAGCATTTTGACTGCTCAGCTGTGCACCCCGTCTTCCCTGGGGCAGGAGTGTCCCCAACATTCCCTCCACCCCCCCTCCTGAGGATGATGGAGAATGGGCACTGCTCCTGGGACCAGAGCAGGGCTGGCCCCTGGGTCTGCAGACACATTTCCCAGTGAGACATGTGGGGAGGATGGGGCTGGGAAATGATAGGCAGGTGGTGTCACTGCTGAGGGTCCAGACAGCAGCGTCCTGGGCCTGGGCTGCTCTACATTGCCACCTCCGTCCAGCACAGGCAGCTGAACTGAAGTCACTGTGTGAATTTGGGGAGACACAAAGTACCACACAGACACAGAATACCTTTCATAAGCTTCATGATGGCTTTCTCCATCTCCCAGCCTCAGGCTCCCCAAAGGGGGACACGAGAAGGTCAGAGAGGCTGACAGGAGAGAGGGGGCACATTCAGAAGTGGGCTTTTATTTTGGGTGATGCTGTGTCTTACAATTTTCTATATGAAAAAGGCAGAAGGGTAGGATTACAAAGGAACAGGTGAGTGTGACTCAACCCCAGCAGGTGACACCTACTCTTGGAGCCACACCCTGTTATCCCAGCTGGGGGAGCACCCAAGTTACTGGACCTGGCACTACCCTGCCCGACTGAATGCAATAACTGTTCAGAACCTGGAGCATCAGGACTTAAGTATGTTCATCAAGGGTGGCTTCCCTCACTTATGGCCCTCCTCAACTGGGACCTACACTGAGCTGATCCCTTGGAATCCAGGGAAGCCTCTGCAGATGAATAGGGAGCTGGACATAGAGAGGAAGTCACATGTCAGTGCACAGCTCCTCTGAGGACAGCCACATAGACAGTCTGTCTCCTCTTCTTCCCAAATGCTCTCCATCTCATGTTTCATCCAGTCTCCCTGCTGGTGCTGATGTGTCCTGGATTACAGGACATTTAGAAGATGAGGAAGGCTGTACCTATGTCACACAACCAACATGACAGTGTCACAAGATCTCCAGGAACAGAAGGACCATGTCACAGTAGCAGACAGTGGAAGAAAAAGCAGTGTGCTGGACTCAGAACTGAGCACTCAGCACCCAGAGCCTGAATGAGTGTGGTGAGTGAGACTGGGCACCAGGAAGGGAGCAGGGTCCTGAGGAAGGGGCTGGGCTCAGGAGGGTGGGCTCCCCCTCTGACAGCCTTCCAGCTCCCCTGAAACCACCTGCTCTCCTCTCACAGGTAAAGCTCCACCTGGGTTCAAGACAGGGACACATCTCAGGAGCACAGAGGACCTGGGCAGCCTGACCCCAGCCTCTCCAGATATCAGAGGAGCCTCACCCACATGCAAATTCCTCCTCCTGCTCTGGGTTCAAAGGCCCTCTGGGCTGTGGGAGCTCCCAGCTCTCTGCTCAGACAGGGCTGAGGTCTCTGGGAAGGCAGGTGTGGTCTAGAAGATGAGGCTGCTGGGTCTTGTCCTGTGCCTGGTCACAGCTCTCCAAGGTGAGTGTCCCCAGTGTCAGACCTGAGTCCATGGGGAGGTTGTGACTTCAGGTGACTGACAGAGTGTGACTGTTTGTCCCCAGGTGTCCTGTGCCAGGTGCAGCTACAGGAGTCAGGACCTGGCCTGGTGAAGCCCTCACAGACCCTGTCCCTCACCTGTGCTGTCTCTGGATTCTCCATCACAACCAGTGGTTACTACTGGAACTGGATCCGTCAGTCCCCAGGGAAGGGTTTGGAGTACATAGGGTACATACATAGTGGTGGTAGCACTAACTACAACCCATCTCTCAAGAGCCGAGTGTCCATCTCCAGAGACACATCCAAGAACCAGTTCTCCCTGCAGCTGAGCTCCCTGACCACTGAGGACACAGCCACCTATTACTGTGCCAGAGACACAGTGAGGGGACCTCAGTGTGAGCCCAGACACAAACCTCCCTGCTGCTCACCCAGGGCCAGCAGGGTGCACTCAGCACACAGGAGTCAGGTCAGCCCAGAAGCAGCTGCAGATGTGACTTGGGGCAGGTTTCCTCCTTCTGGAGGCCTGTCTAAGTACCACCTTCCCAGGGATCTCTGTGGCCTTGTGGTCTCTACTTATCTCTGATGTGTCTGAAGATAATCATTCTGTTTTTGTCATGTTCTTTTTCTTTTGAAATAGTGCATCTTACATATATTTATTATAGGTTTTCACTTTGACATAGTCACATATATTCATTGTTCATAAAACGTCTGTTGCTCTCACAGCACCTCCTTTTAAATTTTCCTCCTTCTCCCCATTATTTAACTGATCTTTCTTCCACGACAATTTTCATTAAATTTACACTATAAGTGCGTGTGTGTATGTGTGTGTGTGTTTGTGTGTGTGTGTGTGTGTGTGTGAAACTCACAGTGGTTCACTCCCACAGGTGCAGGACTCCCACGTGGGCAGAATTGACCAATAATATCTGCTCAGCTCACTCCTGGTCCCTCCCTTCTCCTGTCCCTCCTCCCTCACCCTTAGTCACCTCCTGATCCCCACTGACCTCTTCTGTGCTCTTGGGGTTCCCCTTCCTTTATCTCCCTTATTTGTGGCAGCTCCCACAGAGGACAGCCAACACTCACCCTGACTCCCTGAGCCTCTCTCATTCCTCTTCCCTAATGTCCTCCAGCTCCGTCCACTCACCATCGTCTCACTCCTCCTATTGGCTGAGCAGAGCTGCAGTGTTGGTACATGACCCACATTTCCTTTATCCATCCACTAGTGATGGGCACCTGGGCTGGTTGCATAACCTGGTCTTGGGAATTGCACTGTATAAACCCTGCAGTGGCCGTGTCCCTGCACTGTGCTGACTTGGGTCTTTGGGGTAAATACCAAGCAGCAGGAGAGCTGGGTCCCACTGTGGCTTCCTCCCTGTTGTTCTGAGGGGTGTCCACCTGCTCTCCTCAGGGTGGTTCTCATCTGCTGTCCACCAACAAGGTGTGAGGGTCCTCTCCCCAGGTTTCCTCCAGCACCTGTTATTACTTGTGTTCTTGATCACTGCCATTCTGGTGAAGTGAGAAGGAACCTCATTGTCACTGTCATTGGAATTTCCCTAATTGTTAGAGATATGAGCTTTTATTCACATATTCATTGTTCATTTGTCTTTCTTCTATTGAGAAGTGTCTGGTTAATTATTTGTCGTCTAATAAGTGGATCATTTGTTGGGGAGTTGAAGGTTTTGGAGCTCTTTATATATTCTGGGTACTACCCCCTGCCTGAGAAGTGGGGCAGAGGGTTTACCCAATCTCTAGGCTCTCTCCCTGCACTTACTTGTCTCCTGTGCTGTGCAGAACCTTCTGCAGGCCCTGCCTTCCCACTGACATCCTTGATCTTTTTCTGGTTGGTTTATTTTTTCATGTTCTGACTCTGCATGTTCACATCATTCACCAACAGACATGTGTGACTTCATCCTTCCTGACTTGGATGACATTCTCCACCATTGTTACTAGCTAAACCCCTGGCTAGGTTCCAGCCCTTTGTGGAAGAGGAAGGCTGAGGGTCCTTCCTTGCCCAGAACAGGTCTCAGTGTAGAGCACTCAGGGTCTCCCACTGAAGTGGATTTGCTGTGTGTTTTTCACAAATGACCCTCACTGTGCTGTTCTTCCTCTGAGTAACTTGCTGGTTCCTTTCATCATGGAAAGTGCTGGATTTCGCCCAGTGGTATATTCTAGGTTAGTTGAGATGCTCTTGTGACATTGGCCTCTGCTGTGCTGAGGAGGGAACCACAGTGTGCTGCTCCTTTAGCTGTCCCTGCACCCCAGGCAGGTGGCCCCTGTCAAGGTGTGGCTCTCTCACTGTGCCCTGACCTTCAGCTCCAGCCTGCCAGGACTTCTCAGCAGAGTCCCAGCCCCTAGTTCATCATGGCTGTTGGACTGCAGTTGGCCTCACTGTGGTCATCTGGGTTTTGGACCAGCCTGTGTCTGGCCTCCTAAGGTGGTTTCCCATCTGTTCTCCTCTCATGTGTTGCAGGACCATCCCGAGGTCCCCTGCCCTGACTCTGCTCCTCCATTCATTGTTAGTCACCATCAGTCCATCCTGCTATGTCTCTGTGCCTGCTGTTTACTTCTCCCAGGTGCAGTCTTGGCAGACCTGCTAGGACCTGGCCATCCCCCTATCCTGTAGTTGGCTGTGGCATCATGGCTGTGGGCAGAGGGGCAGAAGGGAAGCCGTGGGCAGGGTGAGCTCTCTGGGGAAGGCAGGTGAGGACATGGACTGGACCTGAGTGCTGCTGGGCAGGCTGTCTGCATGGCCACCCTGACACACTCAGGCACGAGTGGGGGCTGGGCCTCAGGACTGTGTCCTCTGCAGCTCTCCTCTGACTGCAGCTGCCCAGGCAGGCCCTGTAGGGTGAGCTTCCCACATGGAGGGCATCTGTGGTCATGGGATGCCATGAGCTCACAGAACCACCAGCTGATGCTCAGTCACAGACCTGGAGATTGTGGTGTGGCAGGTGGACCTCAGCTCCCTGTGTTACATCAATGTTATGATTCTAAAAATACAAAGAAATTGCCAGTACCAGCTTTGAGATTCTAGGAGGTGTTTGGTGTCATAGGGAATCACCTGCCCTGGGAGTGGGGCATCAGAGAAATCTTGGAATAGATGAGGTGGTTTTCTTTTACTTGGGGAATGTCTGGGTTAAATCGTGGCTACGAAGCAGGCCATCTTCACAGGAGAAAGCTCATTTGCAACAAATAGTGGAACTTTTGAGTCTTCAATCATGATTTTGGGGAAAGGCAGTGAAGGCCTGCTCACAGGCAGCAGCAGCTCTTACTCTCTCACTGCTTCCCAGGACTCCCTGGGCCTCCCTGGCAGCAGCTCAGATGGGTAGGACGTGGGAAATGGAGTTTCCTAACAGCCTCCAAAACAGAGAAGGGAGGATGGGTTGGGAGGGGAGAAGTGCACACCTGGGGGCCATGACCACAGAACAAGAGACACCACCACACACTGGCTCCCCCTGAAGCTGGGCACCAGGCCTGGTCACTGCTCCACAGGCTCACACACCCTCACCAGGTCTGAAATACAGAGATAATTAGAAAGTGTTTTGAAAACTTACACTGCAACAAAATGGAGAGACCTTTTAAAATCCTGAACTGTAACTGGATTACAGATTTACATTTGAAGCACAAACCCACGTTTTTTAGGAGAAAAGAGAATGATCTTTGAATACCTCAGTCTGACAGTGAATTTTCACATATAGCTCTAGAACCCAACACCTAAAATTAAAGTCTAACAGACATGAACTGGAACCCTCCGAGATGAGAAGAACTTAAAGAATCCTGTTTTCCCCAGCCATCACTTAGGGCCCCAGGCAGGGCCTTTCCATGATTTCTCTGCTTCTGAAAGGAGCTCTGACTGATGCTCCTGGGCTGTTCCCATCATGATTTTCTCTGTGACTTTAGTCCCTTCCTAGGAACGTTTCTGCAGTTATGATTCTGGGCATAGCATACATAACTGTGAAGTTAAAAGAATAATAATGACTGGATGGAGTGGATGGAGCTGTGTTAATGCCATAATACTGAAATCCATGGTCCCCAAATTAACTTGCAAACAAGAGTAAATTCATGTATAATAGCCCCAAAGTTAAAATGCTAAAAATCAACTAACTTACAACATATGTCCTCAAACAGTAATGTGAAATCATTAAAAGTATAATTACTTATGTTTCCAGCAGGAGGTGAATTGAGGAATCTCAAAAACACAGAACATTTCTGGGTCTCTTTTCACATTAACACACACTCAGATCCACACACTCAGGTGCAAGACACTCTCAGCTGTGCACATGATGGTCACACCTGAGTGACCATCAGTGCACCACAGGAACATGAAAAAGAATGGGAAGTTTCTCCCACTCCAGACTTCTACAGCAAGAGTGTCCCAGCTCTGGGGGCCATGCCACACCTCCCCAGCCCTGGGAGCAAGAGCACACCTCAAATTCAAAGCTGTTGTGTTTTTGCAGTTGTTCATGGACCTCAGCTGCCTGAGAAGGTAATTCCCTCACACAGCCCAATTCCCAGAAGAGTTTCTCCACCCCATCCCCATCCTCTTGTGCCTGTCTCCTGCTGTGAATAAAAGTTCTTCTGAGCAGCTAAGGAAGGTCACAGTCCCTGCCATGTCTGTGCATGGTGATTGCTGTGTTTGCAATGATCCCCAAGTCTGTCCCTGGTGCAAGATGAATGTGCTTAGAAAGGAAGCAGGTGAGTTACACCTGTGAATCCTCTTCACAGCAATTTTGGCCATTTGTTCTGTGTTGTTGGTCAACCAGGGGAATCACCCATGAACTGGAGGAGTAATCATCTGAACGGAGATAGAGGCCACTCAGGGAAGTGTCATTTGTGAGGAAGTCATTGAGGAGACTGAAGAAACCAAGAATTGGATCCATGAAATCTTGATCAACACAGAAATGAATGGGAAGTCTCCAGGGAGGCTGGCGGTCAATGCAGTGGAAGGACAGGTTACATGAAGCACACCCACATGCAGCTCATGCTTGATGGAGCCCACTGGGTTACCCGTGGCCCAAGAAAAGTTGGGAAATCTATCACAGAGGGGGTTCCAGGTTCCACAGGTGAGGAAGAGGAGGCATATAGAAATCTCTTCATTAGTATACATGGAAGGACAGCTTTCTAAATCAAATGATTTCCTAGAAATTTAAAACAATACACAATGAGACATATGCATTTGCAGATGGCAAAATCATGGAGATCAAGAAGGACATACCTGGGTCACCCCAGGACCAGGAGGTGGGTGCTGCAGGCTCAGTGTTTGCAGGGAGTTCATGGTCAACACCACAGGGAACAAGGAGAGGAGCCACATGTCTTATTAGTGGGCTATGCTCACTCGGTTAGGCAGGAGGTCAATTCCTGAACCTCATCAGGAGGTCAGCAACTACACCTGCCCTCTCAGTGACCCCACCTCACTAAAGACAGTGTCCACTGTTCTCTCCAAATGCTGGGCTGTGGGCAAGGCAGGTCTCACTGCAGGGATGCTGCACAGGGAAGGGGACCTGGGCCTCCTCCCTCACCCAGCCTGCCCTGCATGCCGTCCTGTCTGCTGTCAGCCTGGCTCTGCTGCTCTGGGCCACTCAGGGGCTCTCAGCCTCAGGCTGCAGCTGAGAGCTGCCTCTGCCCCCAGGACTCTCCCCTGGCCCAGCACCTCCATCCTGTCCTCTCCTGGTGGAGACCAGAGGGCAGGACAGGTGAGGGGAGGAGCTCAGGGCAGATTCCCACCCACTGCTGACCACAGGCATTGGCTGGACAGTCAGGAGGACAAGCAGGGCAGAGGGTGGGGAGGGCAGTGGGCACACAGCAGGAAGCCCCTCCCCTCCTGAGAGCCTGCTCCCTCCTCTCCTGCTCAGTCTGCAGCCCCCAAATCTCACAGAGATGAAAGAGAAGAACTAGTCCTGAGAACAAAGGGGGGCTCTTCTCCTGGATGTGGGGAACCCCATCCTCAGCCCTGGGCTCTGTTCAGTCATCACTGAGGGCTTCTCCTTCAGGGCTGGGAGGTGAACCTGGGCCTCTTGCATGCTGGGCACGTTCCTGCCACTCTGACACCCTCCCAGGTGCAGGGAGGAATGGCTTGGAGGAGGCAGGGCTGGGCTCGGGAGGGTGGGCTCCCCCTCTGACAGCCTTCCAGCACCCCTGAAACCACCTGCTCTCCTCTCACAGGTAAAGCTCCACTTGGGCTCAAGACAGGGACACATCTCAGGAGCACAGAGGACCTGGGCAGCCTGACCCCAGCCTCTCCAGATATCAGAAGAGCCTCACCCACATGCAAATCCCTCCTCCTGCTCTGGGTTCAAAGGCCCTCTGGGCTGTGGGAGCTCCCAGCTCTCTGCTCAGACAGGGCTGAGGTCTCTGGGAAGGCAGGTGTGGTCTAGAAGATGAGGCTGCTGGGTCTTGTCCTGTGCCTGGTCACAGCTCCCCAAGGTGAGTGTCCCCAGTGTCAGACCTGGGTCCATGGGGAGGTTGTGACTGCAGGTGACTGACAGAGTGTGACTGTCCATGTCCCCAGGTGTCCTGTGCCAGGTGCAGCTGCAGGAGTCAGGACCTGGCCTGGTGAAGCCCTCGCAGACCCTTTCCCTCACCTGTGCTGTCTCTGGTTACGCCATCACCAGTGGTTACTGGAGCTGGATCCGTCAGCCCCCAGGGAAGGGGCTGGAATGGATAGCGCAAATTGATTATGATGGTGATACTTATTACAACCCATCCCTCAAGAGCCGAGTGTCCATCTCCAGAGACACGTCCAAGAACCAGTTCTCCCTGCAGCTGAGCTCCCTGACCACCCAGGACACAGCCACCTATTACTGTGCCAGAGACACAGTGAGGGGACCTCAGTGTGAGCCCAGACACAAACCTCCTGCAGGGCGCCCAGGGCCAGCAGAGGGCGCTCAGCATTTATGCAAATCTGTGACATTTCATTTCCCCTCTACGTCACATGGATCTCCAGGGTCTCCCTTCCAACAGCTGACTATTCCATTATTATGTTATATTGTCCCCATTATTGTATCTCTATTCATTTTATTTCTATTTGTCCTTTTTTTATTTGTAACTTTTGCATTCTTTTTGACAAAATCATAGAAGCATGAAACATAAGTTGTCTAATTCAGGCCCCAATATGTTCCTTTATCCCCCCTCTCCCCTCCTCTTGTCACCTCCCCTCAACTCTACTGATCTTTCTGTAATTTAATGATATATTTTTAATTACTGTTTCCTGGATATACTGAGGGGGGTCATCACTTACCTATACTAATATGTAAATAAGAAAGCCTGCTAAGATTCATTCCACTGCTCTTCCTTTATGCTCTCCCTCATCCCTTTTACAAAATGAAAAACAAAAAGTGCTGGGGACATGGTTCTGGACTCATGATCAGTCCCCAGTAAAAAGTCAAACAAGAACAGGACACATGTGCTTTGGTTTTATGTCAATAAACTAGGTTCTCAGAGTAGAGCAAGTGCTTCCTACAGAGGTACATTTGGGACCTCACTGGGTGGTGTTATCTTGCTTTTCAATCTACTACCCATTTTCCTTCCTGTGACATAAATATGACTCTTCTCCATTGTCTCAGCTCTCCATCACACCCACAATTATGATTTGTTAATTCCCTGATTATTTCTGCTACTTGGGATTGAATCAAGCAACACTTTACAATGAGCTGCATCCCAAGGTCCCTCACAAGGGACTTTGCTTTTGAAACATGGTCTTGCTAAGAAGCCCAGCTGGCCTCACACCTGCAATCCTCCTGCCTCAAAACCTGAGGAACTGTGATAAGAGGGGTGCCTGGTCATTCCTGGAAATCAATCATATCATTAAGAACTACAAGGTTTTTAACCTATAATCAACACAATGATATTCCACCTGAAAACTGGGGATTTCACCTGATGCTTTAAGTCTTGTCTCCTTTGCCTCATTGACATCTTGGTACTTGCTCAGAGGGCCTTGCTCAGGTCCTGCCTCTGCCTTGGTGGATGCTGGCATCACTTTGCATAAACAGGACACCTGCTATTTGCACAGACTCTGTATTTGACTGCTTAAGCATGCTTTGTGGTTATTAAGTTTACACTTAGTTATGTAAATTAGATTTTGGGGATCCACATACGAATATGTTTTAAAGGACATGAATACGCAATGATTTGTTGTGTGTCCTTGTCTTTCACACCTGTTGGTGTTTGATGATCAACCAATAGCATCAGCATCTCTCTCCATCTGACAACAGCTGGCCATTCCAGCTGTATTTTCACACTTACACTGAAACCCATCTCTAGTGAGGCAGAGGACAGCACCCTGACACAGGGTGCCAGGCGCCATGATGGATCCCAGCTGTGCACACACAGCTGTCCATCACCTGTCCCTCCTGGGTGTGGGGAGCCACCAGCTGCTCTGCCCCAGTCACTGTGAAGCACAGGCTGGCTGTGGGCCACAGGTGCCCTGTGAGCTGCAGAGCCACAGGACAAGGCCCACCCTCACCCTCGCTCTCCCTGCACCTTCCCATCTCCAGGGGCCACTGTCCTCTCTCTTTCCAGGACCCAATGTAGTAGCCTCCCACCTGAGTGATGGTGTGGTGATGGTCTCCCTCTGCCTGACCCATTTCAGCTAGGTCCACGTGCTCCAGGGCCATGTCCAGGGCCAGCAGGGACAGGATGCCACTCTTGTTGGCTAAATCTTGTCCTTCCTCTATAGATAGCACTTTGAATTTGTTCAGGTAACCCCCAGGGACATGGTCACTGACTGATTCTTGGTCGCTGAGTGGAAACTGCTCGGGACCTGCTCCCTGTCCTGGTGCACCTGATACTCACTGTGCCCCTCTGGTGCTTCCCAGTGCTGCATTTCTGTTGGCTTCTGTCTCTCAGTTTCCATCTCCAGCTTCTGCTAACTTCCTCATCCTGGGGCATGGGCATATTTTCCTTGCAGATCTCAACATCATAATCAAAGGACTTTATGATCTTTGTGGTACCAGGTGGACCTCAGGGCCCTGTGCAAGCTGAAGCCTGCTCTACCTGTGGCCATACCTCAGGGCTATAATTTCAGTTTGTAAAACCAGCTGCAAATCTTGAGGAGGCAGGAGCAGAGGTCCAGGTGCCTGAGCATGGCCTGTTGGTCAGTTCAGGACTCGTGGTCCACACATCACCCCACACTCTCCCTCCTGGGAGGAGAGCCCTCCTGATCCCTCCTGCTGGCTCTGCTGGGTCTGCAGGGTGAGCGTGCTGCCCACAGCCACCCTCTGGGTGAGGACAGACAAGTGCTCCTGTATCAGCCATGGCCATGTGCCTCTTGTCTCAGCCCCTCCCTCTCCTGACCTTGCTCACCACCACAGCCACTGTCCAGCTCTGCCCCTGTGAGGCCAGCTTCTTACATGGACAGGAGACTTAGGCCAGGACGCGGATATCCCTCAGGCCTGGCCTTTTCTCCTAGCACTGTAACCTAAATTGGGTTCCTCAGCTGTGCACCCCTGTGGCAAATGCCTGAGGCCATCAACACATGAAGAGGAGCTTTCCTTTGGCTCCTGACTTCCAGTGCTCTAGTCCATGAAGAGAGGAGTCCACTGCATTCACACCTTTCCTGGGTGTGCCAGGGGCAATACAGAGAGCCCACTGTGGTGACAGCCACTCACCTAGTTTGAAGGACTCCAAAGGGAGGGAAGAAGAGACAGAGTCTGACAGTCCCCTGATAGGGCATATCCACTGTGATGAGTCCCCATGTCCTAAGGGATCCTCACTCCCCCACAGCCCAAAGGGCTGAGGAACATCCTTAGCACATGGAATTTTGAAGGACAATATGCACACTAATCATTCTATCCCTGGACAGAAAGCCTTCTTATCCATCTCATGAGGCAAACACATTCAGTCCTCATCCTTGAGTCCCTAAAGGCACTAATACTTCAGCTTAGCTTAGAAGTCCAGTGCAAAGACTTCAAAAGATTCAGGGAAACCCTACTGTGGGCCTTAAAATCAAAGAGGGCTTCCATGCTCCCAACTTTTATGGATGGCTGTCAGCATCCCCACCAAACAGTCAAACTGGACATAGCCCCTGTCCTCCTGCTTAGTGAGCTTGGCCTGCAGCCTCCTGGGCAAGTGCTGCTCACTGCTGGCTCCTCTGATCCAGGGGTCTCCTCAGCAGCCCTGGCTCCATCTCACAGCCCCATGCATCACCTGCCAGGGCTGCCAGCAGGGACTCTGACCCTGACACTATCTGATCTCCCAGCCTTCCACCATGCGAACTGCGCACTGGTTTCATCAAAGAGTTTCTTGGCATAAAAGTCAGCTAGTGAGATCAAAATAAACACACAGACTCAGTTACCTTTTTCTATGACCAGGTCCCAGACAGCTCCCCCCTCTGGCTCTCACCTCGAACCACCTGGTAGGGCAGCAAGGCTTATTCAGGGCTAGCAGGAGAGAGAGAGAGGGAGCACGCCAGGGAGTTATAGGGGAACAAGAAATTCAGGGGAGAATTCCATCCAATGAAGGTTGAGGGGGGCAGCACTCCAAGGTCAGGGTCAGTGATTGGCCCCAGGGTCCTTGGTCAGTCACACCCCCACACGGACAGGCTCTCGCACCAGGAGAGGATGGGGAAAGCTCCAACACAGTTTAGCCAGAGTGCATCAGACCCAAACTGGGAGTTGCCCAATCACGTGTGAGAATGGCTCCCCACACCAGCCCTTCCTTTCAAGTGTCCATGTAACCCTCCCTGACCCTGTAGCTCTCACAGTCAGCCACCTGCAAAGCCAGCATGGTGTGGCTGAGGACAAGGTCACCCTCAGCAGGGAGCAGGTCCTGGCCTCCCTTGAACCAGGGCTGGGAACCTCTGAGCCCCTTGCTGGCTGAACAGGGGAAACCATGCCCTGGGCAGTCCTGGGTCAGGAGCCCAGAGCTCTCTCCCACAGGCCCTGCCCTGGAGGGTCTTTCAGATCCTCATCTCTGCCTCTGAGCTGGGGAAGCTGGGCCTTGTTGATTCCTGGGATCCTGAAACACCCTCCATCCTCTGGGTGCAAGGCCTGGGCTGCTCTCAGTGGAGCTGCTGGCCTCCCCCTCCTGGCCACAGCTCCTGGGCAGCACCACAAGTGTGCTGCTCTCCTGGCCAAAGTGCAAAGCCCCAGCTCTGCCTGCACTGCCCCTCTCTGCCCCTCCCTGTCCTGCACATGGCCTGACATCAGTCAGGGGGTCACACGCCAGGGCCTCACCTGTGCCCTTGAGATTGTCCAGCCCACAGTCTGCTCCAGCCTGAGTGAGCCCAGCTCCCACCAAGTGTGGGATCATCCATGAAATGGAACTCAGAGGACCTCACTACGTGTATCCACCATGGGGCATTCATGTTCATGATGAGAGCAAAGCCCAAATACTCAACTTGGTCTTGCCAGATATGATCTGCTGGACACATTGAACCAACACACCTGTTTCTGTGTGTAATTTTACATTTAGACCATTGAATTAACAGTGAACCTTCCATCATATGATTTTTTTTGTATCTAGTAAATAAATTAAGATAATGAAAAACAAGAGCAAATTGAAGAAATAATAACTTCCTAAATGCTCCTCTGTCCACCATGCTCCCCATGACACTCCCATCTGCTCTCAGAGCTGCTCTACCTGGGCCTCCACACAGAGCTGCTATATAGCAGGAGGACATGCAAATAGGGCCTCCCTCTGCTCATGAAAACCAGCCCACCTGACCCTGCAGCTCTGCACAGGAGCCCAGCCCTGGACTCCCAGCTCAGCCCACTCAGTGACCAGGACTGAACACAGCTGCTCACCATGGAGAGTGTGCTCAGCTGGGTTTTCCTGGTGGCTGTTTTCAAAGGTAATGAATGGAGAACCAGAGATCCTGAGTATGTGAGTGGACAGGAGTGAGAGGAAGAGTGGATGAGTGCCAGTGTCCTGACCAGGCTGCCTCTGTGTTTGCAGGTGTCCAGTGTGAGGTGCAGCTGGTGGAGTCTGGGGGAGGCTTGGTGCAGCCTGGGGTTTCCCTGAAACTCTCCTGTGCAGCCTCTGGATTCACCTTCAGTGACTACTGGATGCACTGCTTCCGCCACACTCCAGGGAAGGGGCTGGAGTGGATCTCATTCATTAGTGAGCGTAGTCTTTACATAAACTATGCTGACTCTGTGAAGGGCTGATTCACCATCTCCAGAGACAACTCCAAGAACACCCTGTACCTGCAAATGAGCAGTCTGAGAACCGAGGACACAGCCACCTATTACTGTGCTAGAGACACAGTGAGGGGACCTCAGTGTGAGCCAAGACACAAAGCTCCTGCAGGGTGCCCAGGGCCATCAGGGGACACTTAGCACACAGGGAGCTCAGGGTCACCCAGGAGCAGGTGCAGAGTGTGATTGAGGGCTGGTTTCCTGCATCTGGGGGCCTCTCTGTTTACCAGCTTTCCAGGGGAGCTCTGTGGCCTTGTGGTCTATGCTTTTTTTTTGATTTGTCTGAAGATAATTATACTGTTTCTGTGATTTTTTTCTTTTAAAATAGTGTTTTATTTTAAATAATATTGTAAATAAAATAGTGCATCTTACATATATTGATTGGGATACATTTTGACATTATCACATTCATTCATTGAATATAAAAGCCCTTGGTCTGTCCCAGTACCTCCTCTGTCCTTCCTCCGTTACTCCTCAGTTACTTTACTGCCCTAAGTTTTATTCCATATTTTATACTTTCTAATTAAATTACCACTATGTGTATGCATATCTACATGAGAAACTCATTGTGGAACACACTACATGTGCAGGAATCACACGTGTCCAGAACTGGCCATTCACATCTGCTCACTTCACTCCTGGCTCCTCCCTTTTCCTGTCCCTCCTCCCTCACCCTTAGTGACCTCTGTCTTGTCCACTGATCTCTTCTATTTCCTTGGGTTCTACCTGCCTTTATATTCCTTATTTGTTCTAGATTCTACATAAGGGAGAAAACACTCAACCCTGAATTCCTGACATTTCATATTTCTCTTGCCCTAATGTTTTCCAGCTCCATCCATTCACCATCATCTCACTCATCCTAATGTCTGTTGTATACAACCCAGATTCCCATCCTAATGTTCATGGACCCAGCTGAGATGCACTGAAGAAAAGCCCTAAACCTGACCACAATGTGAAAACATACACCAACTCATTGTGTATATATGCCACATTTATTTTTTATACATTCATCTACTGAAGGGCATCTAGGTTGGCTCCACAGTTTAGCTATTGTGAATTGTGCTGCTATAAACATTGATGTGGCTGTGTCCCTGTAGTATGCTGTTTTTAAGTCCTTTGGGTATATACCCAGGAGAAGGATAGCGAGGTCAAATGGTGGTTCCATTCCCAGATTTCCAAGGAATCTCCATACTGTTTTCCAAATTGGATGCACCAATTTGCAGTTCGACCAGTAATGTATGAGTGTACCTTTTCCCCACATCATCACCAACACTTATTGTTGTTTGTCTTCATAATAGCTGCCATCTGACTGGAGTGAGATGATATCTTAGAGTGGTATTGACTTGCATTTCTCTGATTGCTACAGATGATGAACATTTTTTCATATATTTATTGATTGGTTGTATATCCTTTTCTGAGAAGTGTCTGTTCATGTCCTTGGCCCATTTATTGATTGG